CAGAAAGCCAAATGGTTTCATACATGTGATTTCAACCATACAATTAGTTGCATTTTGATTGAAATGCTAGGAGAACACTGAAGTGCACTTACACTAGAAGTGTTTTATTCTGCTGTTGCTGCAACCAGACTTGTTTTGCTACTAAGGCATCTGTGACTAGATACATGCTTATCTTGACAAACATTAAGCAAGAACTGTAACTAATACATAGATTTCAACCTGATTTGAACAGCTTGTCTAATAAAACATGCAAACAATATCTAACTGTGATAATGCTTCTTTTAATACAGACATGATGCCTCTCTTGCATAATTATGTTACTGTTGATACAGATACACTTCTGTCAGACACAAAATATCTTGAAATGATCTACAGTATGTGCAAGAAGGTAAGTGGATTCCTTTGTGATAACAAAGAATCAATAAAAAGTGTCAAGAGTATGGGGCCAGACTCTTTTCAGTGGTGCCCAGTGACAGGACAAGGGGCAACGGGCACAAACTGAAGCATAGGAAGTTCCATCTGAACACAAGGAAGAACTTCTTTACTTTGAGGGTGACGGAGCACTGAACAGGCAGCACAGAGGGGTTGTGGATTCTCCTTCTCTGGAGATATTCAAAACCCACCTGGATGTGGTCCTGTGCAGCCTGCTGTAGGAGACCCTGCTTCAGCAGGGGGGTTGGACTAGATGATCCCCAGAGGTCCCTTCCAACCTCTTCCATTCTGTGATTCTGAAAACCTGTGATCTCTGAAGTAATACACTGTTAAACTGAGCACAACAACAGCAAACTGTAAAACGGAAGAATTTTGAAGTCTGTTCTTAAAGCATTATGCTACGCAATTACTAAGTTATTTCAGAGAAATTTAAAGAGGTTGCATCAAATTTGAGATACATGCTTTTGCTAAAAGGGAGAAATAAATCATACACAAAAAAAGCAGATGAAACAACCCAGGGTTTTATGCATGTGTGTTTTGTGTAATACACGTTGTGCATATGGGCATGCAAAACACGTCTATGCATATTGCAAAAGATAGATGGTCTCTTTTGTCTCGGATTGGTTGCCTCACTATGGCTAGGATACCACATACAATATCTATGCTAAAGGTCTTAAATCCATTATCTAAAACAAGTGGAGTAGGGATGGAAAGTATAGAGGGATAGGAATAGGAAATTGCTTTCCTAAGTTCATGCCAAGTCAGTGATGAAAGCTGAGAGTGGAATGCAGTTCTGACTCAGTCCAGTCATTTTTGGGCCGTGTTTCTGTACTTAACTCAGCTTCTCAGCTCCTGTGTATTATAGGTAGCTGCCAGCTGGGCTTTCTTTATGCAATCAATATGTAGAATACAAGGGTTTCCAGAATGTTAGCCCTATGCGAGGAAATGATTCCTTCTTTATAAGATGCTGTTAATATTTTATAATCTTTAATAGTAATCTGTGGGTATTGCAGTTTTCCATTTCTGGATATCATCTGTTGTGTCTGTATAAGAACCACGGTGAACTGTCAGCTGCCCTGACCGTGATATTTCCTGAGCAATTCTTTTGAAGGTGTTTAAATATTATAGTGAATAACTCTTGCCAGCCTTTATCTGAAAACAATTTGCAACCAGGCTGATTAGGCTGATTGTAAATACTTGAACATTTTATGTATATAGAAAAGAAAATTAGCCTGTTATAACCTCTTAGTGATTAGCGTTTTATTAGCTGAGCATAGTGAATCTTTAACACAGAAGTTTTAGGTATTGCGTGGTCTCCCACTGGATATCCCAAACTTGTAAATAAAATTTTTACAAAATTCAGTACATGAGCGTAAGAAAAATTTTTTGTGTGTGGAAATAAACCTTTGCAAAATGACATCTGCTGCTTATTACAGTTAATGTTGTAAGCTCTGTGTCCATAGAGTTACTGAATATTTGAACATGTAGTTTAGTTTTACCTGCCTTCAGCAGTGTTACAGTCTCTAGTTGTGATACTGAGCCATTGCTGTAGATTTGGCTGCTTCACTGATAGATGTTTATGCTAGCATTGTAATAGACTGGGTAAATTTATATCAGATTTTCAAAGCAAAGCAGTATATAGAAAATACTTCTTGAAGGGATATCATGAATGGCAATTCTTATTTTTCAGGTCCTTACAGGAGTTGCTGGAGAAGATGCAGAATGTCATGCAGCAAAGCTGTTAGAAGTAATTATTCTTCAGTGTAAAGGGCGTGGCATTGATCAGGTTACTATAATATTTAATAAATGTTTTATTCTCAATATTAATTGATTATGTGTTAACATGAGTTACATTTTGAGGAGTTTGCGTAGCGTGACTAGTAATCCTGTCTTCTGCTTCAATGTCACAAGTCCTACTGCTTGCTCAGTTAACAGCTCTGCAAAGATTGTTATTGCGCACTTTGTCTCAAGAGTTTAGGACACTGCAAAACTCAGTGTAAAGTGTTTTTGTGAATCTGGAAAAGTACTATTTTAGGAGCATCTTGGTTCTGAAAGTTGACTAATTAAATTAATGCTAGTGAATATTTCATGAAAATTATTCAATCTGTCAAGTTAATAGCCTTGAAATAAATAAGAATAAAAATGAAGCTCCTAGAATCCAAATTAATGTCATAGAGGAATAAAGGACTTCATTATGCACATACAGAAGTTGCAGCTTGAGAGATGAATTTGTGTGCTTCCATTGTGTACGTGATGAGCACTGCATAACAGCTATTTAAACATTTTTTGCATGCTTTTTAATATTTGTGGACATGTCCTTGGAAACATTAATTTATTTGAAAGAAAATCTTCTATAGTGAATTTTTTTTTCAGCGTGGCATGTCTGAAGAGAATATTCCTTTGAATAGCTGTTTTCTTGGAATATTAGTAATGTCTCTTGAGTTTGTTGTAGATATTAAAAAAGATTAAGTTGATTTTTCTGAAATTCCTAGTGTACGCATTTCCTCTAGTTTTAATTTTTAAAACATGAGGTATAGAACTAGGAAGTACACCTACTATGTATGTCACAAAATCCATGTGCTCGGGGTAGATTAAATCTTTTCACCTTTTCATTTCATCTTCACATATGACTTCTGATGGCAAAAAAAATTATTCCCATTTTGTGCCCTCTGTATTTATGCACCAGACTGGTTTTATGCCATTTGTCAACATTAGTGTGAAATACAGAACTACAGAATTAATTTTTGATCACTGATGTTGTAATGTTTCTATCTCTTTAGTGCATACCCTTATTTGTGGAAGCTGCATTAGAGAGGTTGACCAGAGAAGTAAAAACAAGTGAACTGCGAACAATGTGCCTCCAGGTTGCCATAGCTGCTTTGTATTACAATCCTCATCTACTATTAAATACATTGGAAAATCTTCGTTTTCCCAATAATGTGGAGCCTGTCACTAGTCACTTCATAACACAGTGGCTTAATGATGTGGACTGTTTCTTGGGGTAAGTGTTTCTGATTTTGAAGATTGTTCTCTGTGATACACCTCTATATTACCTGCTTGTAAATTGTAACAATATTTGTAACTTTTTTACTGTTTTGTTTTGTAGACTGCATGATAGAAAGATGTGCGTGCTTGGCTTATGTGCTCTTATTGATCTGGAGCAAATACCACAGGTTCTAAATCAAGTTGCTGGCCAGATTCTGCCAGCTTTTATCCTTTTATTTAATGGATTGAAAAGAGCATATGCGTGTCATGCAGAGCATGAAAATGACAGTGATGATGATGATGAAGCTGAAGAAGATGAGGAAACAGGTATGGAAACTGAAGCATCGCTGTTACTTTGTGTTTTTCATTTTTTCTGATGGAGATGCCGAGTTCCTTTGTGGAATTCTTCAGAGTTCCCTAATTCGAAAAATCAAAAGTTGCGGTAGAACACTGGACATCTTGTAACGACTTTCAAGTATATCTGACTTACTTTCCAGTCCCTCTTGAAAACTAACTTCCTAGGCTGAGTCTCTTTGAAGTCCCATCAAGCTAGCTTTTGTGTGTGGACGCTGTCATTGCACAAAGGAATTATTACTGGGGTATGTTTCCCATTTGAGTGAGGGGTAAGAGTCAGTAGAAGGAGTTTCGAGGAATCTTTCTAATCCATTATACAGTTTGGACTGTATCTTACAGACTGTCCCATGAGCTTGCCAGTGTTTTCGCTGTGTATTGAAAATTACAGTTCTTGGGATTCCCCACCCCAGTCTAATGTAACCTCAACTTTATCAGCCTTTATAGACTTTCTTCTTCATACAGTCGTTTCACAAACTTTCACATTTTGTGCCGTCTTCTTTATAGGAAGTTCAGAATTACCTGCAACTTTCCCATACTTCTTTCTTCCACCTTTCTCTGTACTCTGCTTAAGCTTTTAGTTCTTGCTCTGTACTTTTATCTTTCCATCATCAGCCTGGTGTCTCTGTGAGTGAGTGTTTGAAACGGTTTTCCACACTCAGAGTGGAAATCTGTTGGTTTTCATCTATCTCCTTAAAGCCCGGTTTCTTTTTGTTCTCTGCTGTTGAATTCTGGACTCTTCAGCCTATTGTCATTATAGATCATTCATACTATTACATTTTGTATTTCTCAAGAGTTCTTTTCAACAGCCCTTTTGAATTTGCCTTTAAAAGTGTTTTCATCAAATTATTTCAGACTTTCTTTGGAGCATGAATATTGCTTTGCTTAATGTTTCACCAAGTGCAGTTCCAAACTGTCTGTATGTACATTTTTCTGTATAAATTTTTATAACAAGAAGATTTTCCTTTCCCACTTAACACAGTTAGTGTGAGAGAAGACTGTCTGGTGGGGGGAAGAGCATGACACTAGGAGAGGAGTTAAATGAGCTTCCCCCTTTCTAATCTGCCCTATACTGTTACCAGTTCCATCAGTTGCCTGTTTTGCATAATCACCTATCTTCCTAAAGAGTTGTTCTTACTATTCTCAAAATAAAATTTTTTTGTGTGTGATGTTTAACTCAGAGGAATTGGGGAGTGACGAAGATGACATTGATGAAGATGGTCAAGAATATTTAGAAATTCTAGCAAAACAGGCAGGTGAAGATGGAGATGATGAAGACTGGGAAGAAGATGATGCTGAAGAGACTGCTTTGGAAGGCTATTCCACAATTATTGATGATGAAGACAACCCTATTGATGAATATCAGATATTTAAAACAATTTTTCAGAGTAAGTAACTTTTATTTCCTTTATATTTTAACTTAAGTTTAGTGTATACCATTATAAACTAGAATGTGTTGAAAGTTTCCAAACAGGTTTTCCAATATGTGCTTTGAACGAGGTGAAGCTATCATTAGAGTGGGGGGAGACGCTTCAATGAATTTGCAGTGGGAGGGAAGAGGTCAGAGGTTGTATTAGTGTTTTTAAGTGTCTTGAATTATGTAACCCTAACAGAATATTATTCTGATTAAAATGGTAGTGAGTTAGTAAGCTTTGAGTTACAGAACATTTTAATGAACGCTTTCCTTTTGCTTATGTTTCCTTTCTCTTGCAGCAATTCAGAATCGTAACCCTGTGTGGTACCAAGCTTTGACACAGGGTCTTAATGAAGAACAAAGAAAACAATTGCAGGACATAGCAACTCTGGCAGATCAGAGGCGGGCAGCACATGGTATTTTTTCCCCTTTATACCATTAATTGCTTCTTTTTTTGTTTGAATGTTGTTTATGTGCTCAAGAAGTATAATACAGAAAATGCCTATAATTCAAGCCTGATAATGTTTTCATCAAAGCAGGGTTGTTTTACGCTCCAGAGATGTTTGAAATCTCTTAAGATTGTCAGGTCACAAAGCCTCAATGCACAAATTGTGTGGCATACCACAGGTGTAAGGAATGATAGAAACATCTTAATGAAGTGGCCAAGTAAATAAAAGCATGTTTGTTGTAATTGCTTGGATTTTAAAACAATTGATTACCTGAAGGTGGATGAACTCTAGATATGGTAACAAACACATTAAGTGGCTGACAAATTATATCCTGATATGACCTAGTCCAGCTGGGATAGTCTGATTCTATGGGTTGTAAAATACCAAATTATGGAAGTAGTATCCATCTGTAAAGCTACATCATTAAGCCTATTAAATATTTCAGATTGTTATTCTTCAGTACAGATAATACAAATTTAAAAGTACAGGAAGTGGGCAGATCTTCAGGGGTTTTTTTTCCCCCAAGTTTTCCCAGGTCTTTGAGAGTAAGCGAGTTTTCAAGCCTGAATTTTGAGTGATCAGTCCAGTCTCATATCGTGCATCTTATTGAGCAATTACTACTAAATGTTTTAAAATAGAAGTTCAGAAATCTTTCAGTTAAAAGATTAGTAGTAAGAATGCACATTTTGTAAGTACCTGTTGTCAGAAAACAGCCTACATTACCTTACAAAGCTTGTTAAGTGTCCAGAGTGATCCACTTTTATTGGTTATAAAATACAGTTTCACTGTGACCCCTGTCAAGCACTAGATGTCATGCTGATGAGGCTATATACTACTTGTACCTTTTATGAAAAAGAATTCCTTTTTTTCCAGCTGATTATTCACAGAGCAAGTTAGGTTCATATTGTGAAGTTTAACTTAGGCAACTAGATCCTTACAGTAAATTCTTGCACACTATCAGAGCATACTGATACTCCATGTAGGCTACCTACCACACATGGGGACATGCAGTTAGAAGGATTTGGAATATAATTTTCTGTCATGAATGTAGCTAAGAATTTCCATAAGCTAAGAGATTTGTCTTCCTCTGCACTATGGAGCCTGGAGGGGACAAAGTGGTGGTCCCCAGGTCATGTTTTCCCCCGCCCTTCATCAGCTATGGCAATATTTTTTTTTGGCCTTTCCAAAGAAACAGAGATGAAATGCAGATCCTCTAGATAATATGAGCTGTCCTGTATTCCCAGAAAGAGAGAGATTGCAACTATTTTGAGGTAAGAGAAAGCTCTTAGTCTGGAAATAAGACACTAATAAGCGTTGTTGTCTTGAGCTGGGAATAATATAACCTTCTGTATTATCTAGGTTTTTGTAAAGGTAGATAGAAATACACATTTCTATCTGCCCTTTACCAACATAATTTTCAGTTGTCCATGTATTAGAGCCTGTAAAAATCAGACTTGCAATAATCTTCAAATGATGGAAGCTAGTAAAACCAGACAGCTTAACTACCACTTTTAGTTACAGTGATGAATATATGGACCTCAAATACCTAAAGATCTTAAGGTTTAGTTGAAAATGAAGTGATAAACTTGGTAGTTTCTGTCAGAATTATATTATAAGATGGTCTAGTGACCTTAACTCCAAATTATCTGCTTGGGTATGGGGAGGGGAATGCATGTATACTAAAAAGTCTGTTTCTGGTGCTTCAGTAGCTATTTCTGCTTATATTATTGAATTGAGATAGGAACACTGAAAATGTAGCAAATATCTGTGTACTGCTTTTTGTACTTTTTTTGGTACATGTGCTCTGTTATTGATTTGACTGAAAAGTCTATTAATGTTAATCAGAAAGAACTAGGCGCCTGTTAGCAAGTTCAGAAGTGCAGCCTTCATTCATGTCCTGTTTCTGAAATGTCAAAATTACATACTCATGTCCAAAAACTAAAATGTGGGCTCTTAAAAATATAAACTCATTTAAGCATAGCTATAACAATATAAAAATAAATAAATAAATAATCGGTCCATCTGTTTTTCGGGGCCACTTTGTTGATGCTGATTATTGGGTAACCTCAGGTTAAACGTGTATCTCTGAGAAGCTTAAAATAGTCACAGAATCTTCATCTGTCTTCCCCCCTACACAGGCACTAAAATATCTTCCTTCTATGTTTTTGTTTTGTTTTAGAATCCAAAATGATTGAAAAGCATGGAGGATACAAATTCAATGCTCCAGTTGTGCCAACTTCATTTAATTTTGGAGGCCCTGCCCCAGGAATGAATTGAGTTATCACTTTAACTGCTACTGTGTGATTGTAGTGAAGAGCTTGTGTTCCTCCCAGTAGTGGTTCCAGAACTGGTTCATGTTATCTACAACTCACTCTAAACTAATTGATAAATAGATTGGACAAAAGCCCCAGAAGTGGGACCTGATCATGCAACCTAATACTGGAAAGCAAACCAGAGGTTTTTTTGAAGATAGGAAGAATCTGAATTTAAAGCTTCAAATGGCACACTTTGGAAATTGGAAATCAAGAGAGGATGTCATGAAGGCAGCTTTTCTTTTTCTGAGGAAAAAAAACAGGCTTGGGCTGCAGGACTGTTTAAAATGTCTCATTTACAGTACAAGCTAGAAGGCAGACTTAATTTTTACACCTGTGGCGGTATGAGTATTTGCCCAATTTGTTTCCCTTTTCTCCCCTCCTATTGGGTGTCTGTTCTTTTAATGTAAATAAGATAAGGTAATCAGATAGCCTTACTTAATCTTCATCATTTCCATTTATCAAGATTGTTCATATGTAGAATATTGGACACTTAATGTAGCACTACATAACTGATAAATCTGTAAATGAATTAGCACTTTCATATTGAAACAAGCCTGCTAGCCTATGTAAAAAAATAGCAAAATGTTTGCTGTTTATAAAAAATAAGGGAAGTATTGGGGAAAATAATTTCAAATTATTAATTTAAATTGAACTAGCAGTTTTGTACCTGGTGACTTTGTGGTGCAGTCACCTCTGGCTGTGACTTGAATTCGGTTGTGTAAAAAGGGGTTAGTGATATTTCATTGCTGCTAAAAAAAAATAGCAACACCCTCCGTGTCCTTTCTTTTTCTTAAAGATCTCACTGCACAAGGTGAAATTTGGATACAAATGTGTACTGTAAGCACTGAGGAAAAAGTTACCTTCTCTAAAGTAGGTAAATAAGATGTGAAGTTCTGCTCTTAAGAGCCAATTAAAGTGTGTGGATGAAACATCTATGTATGCAATATTTTAAAAACACAACAATTTAATTTGGCTAATCTGAGCTATGATCTATGAATGCAATTTTTTCCCCTAATTTTTCAAAATATTCTTCATCCAGCATGTGGTAGTGCAGGTGCACTACTCCTGCATTTCATTCTCCCTCTTTTTGCACTCCCAGCATTGGTGTGTGCTGTTGTCTGCCTGATCCAGACAGTGTATTTGGAGTTTTGCCAGTCTTTCATTTTTGAAGCCACAATTTTCTTCCTTCAAAGTTGCTATAGTAACTAATATTTTAGCTAGAGAGGCAAAATACAGTTCCCTCTGGGACCACTATCAAAACCACTGTATGAAGAAGCCAGCAGGGAGATGCTGTGAATGGGTTGGCTTAAATGCCCCCTTTTTCTTTTCTGAAAGCAAAAATCCATAGGTTTTTGATCTTGCCTTGAGATCATTGGTGTCAGGTCTTTTAAATCAAATGTTTGGGTTTTTTTTCTTTTGGCTGTTTTTATATAAAATTGTCACCTGCTGTTACAATTGATATTGAACAAGCTACCTTAATTTAATGTAAGCCTCCAAAATTTAAATACAGGTTAAAAATAAACTGAGTTTATATCTGTAAAAATGAAATGCACATATATATATTATGATACTCAAAATGCAGTCTTCAGAAAATTGGTGTGTGTGGTGTGTTTTTGTTTTTTTTTTTTGCATCAGCAGAGTAGCAGGAATTCATGGTTTGGCGTTTCCTTGACGAGCTGACCAGCACCATGCTCTGCCTTCCATTTGTTGCACAACCACTAGCGCTTTTCTCTGGGCAGGTGTAATGTTTTTTTTCAGTCACTCCTCCCTGGTCTGCCTTTCTTCACAAATGCAATTCACTGCACACAGAGTGCTAATGTGAGAGACTGAGCCAGGACTATGATGCCACGGTGCCCTAGCCGAATACCAAAGGGATACTTTAAGAGCAAATTGCGGATTTAAAAGGCTTGATATTACACCTGATGTGAAAAAACCTGAGAAATTAAACACTGAAACAGAGTATCTATTATAGTAGTGGTATGAGAACCACGGTAGTACTTGGAATCTTTAGCTCACTGGCCAAGTATATATAGCAGAACTGGGTTTTTTTTGTAAATGTGTAACTCATGAACACATATAGGTGTACTCCAGCCTCAAGATAATCTCTATACAAGGTTTTATTTTTGTAGAAGAAGGTGACAGACATAATTACAGCATGCCTTTTTCTGTGCATTCCTTGACCTTGAAAAAGGCCCAGTTTGACAATTTTTGAACATCTGCTTGTTGGGTATCTGCTTATCTTGTTATGCATCCCCAAAAAATGTATGAGAACCTTTTAGGAGAGATGAGACACACTTGCGTTATAGCAGAAGATACGACAGAAGCAGCAGCGAGAAGGCTCTAGATACAAAGCAGATGAAAAAAATTAGGGGAAAATCAACAATCTAGTGCCACTGTCATTTCTGGAACAGTTACATTTTTCTAGTCATGGGAAGAATTTTATCTTGGTGTGAGGAATACAGTCTTACTTCAAGGGTGCTTTTATGTGTCGCTAGACTGTTTAGCAAGGAGCATTTTTTTAAGAATGGATCTAGAACTTTGCTTTCCTTTGGTCCAAGAAATGTATTTATTTAAATTGCCAAACAATTTTACGTTGTTGTTGGTGATAGTGCATTTTGTGATGCAATATATCAATTTCAGTGATACACATGTCAAATTTTAAATTGATCTTCCTTTTAGAAATTGCATTTATCCATTCCATTTTCAAGGATAATGCAACTCTGAAGGAAGAGCTGGGAAATTTAAAGCCTGTTTTTTCTATTATGGAAGATCTCCTTGGATTAATAAATATCTGAAGCAAATCCTTATCTTCCCTTATTTCAGTGTGGTGTTTTGAATATAGCTGTATTCTTACAGTACTTTGGAGTCCTGTTCTAATTACATAGCTCTAAGGTTTGTATTTTCCTTTCTAAAATATTTCTTCAGGCAAATGTTTGGCACAACCACAGTTCTCTTAAGCTTTTTATATTTAACACAGTTATGTCATACACTGTTTTTTTAAAATGTTGACATTCAAGATGTCTGCAATGGATTAGTTACAGAATACCTGACGATAAACATGCAGATGGTTTTAATTGTGCCTAGAAATTGATTCCTGATAAGATTTACAGGTTGACTTTTTTCTAAAGGAAATTTTCTCCACTTGTGACTGTCAGTTCTCAAAGAGCAGAAACATGAAGCTTCTCAGCACATCTCATCTTTATATGATTCTGTCAATTTCCCTTTAAATCCTTCATACCTACTTTCTCTTGTTAACCATTTTCACTTCCTGGGCCTGAATTTGTCCCCCTGTAACTTCCTTGAGATGCTGCTCAGAAACTGCGTACTTTGTACTTAAGCAGTTCATTCTCTAGGCAGTCATAGCCCTGCTGATGCTCTCCGTGTGTGTATTCAACACCGAAGATACACAGCTGCATCCTTCTCTGGAGTTTCATCAGCGGGACTGATGTTCACCGATGGCTCCGAGCAGCACAGCTGAGGGGACGGCTCCTCAGTGGGTGCTGCAGGTTCCTAGGGGGAACGACATGGTTCCCAAGTCAGTATTATTGGTAGACACAACGTTACCTATGTATGGGTTTTGATTTAACAGACCTGGACAAGTTTAGGTAACACTGGTGCAAGCTTTTTTAAGGCTTTAGCAGTCTTCCATGACTTAGGCTACTAATTTTTCTTTGGTAAATGAGCAGCAGTGGATGAACACTGCTTCTGAAAATCAATGCAGAAGTGAACATTTTGTTCTGAATTTCTGCTCAATCCACTATTCAAGTTTTAATCTGAATGCAGTAGTTAAAAAAAAAAAAAGGTTTATCAAAATTTGAGAAAAGCTTGGAAGGTCTAAGACTCCATATTATGCTGTTATGGCCTATAAAAGTGAGAGCCGAGTTCCTTGAGCTGGGTTTTTCTCTTCCTTGTGCTCTGTGGGGCCTCCCACATACCCAGGAAACGCTTCATTTGTCTGGTGGTGTAGCAGATTATAAATTATTTTGCAATCAATATGTAGTTTAAGTAACTTAAATGGTGTCATTTGTTTGCATATTTGTTTTTTATAACCATTCTTAGATCTTGATGCTTGAAACAGAAAGCACTACAGAATGGGAAAACCTGAGTTGCAGGATTTGACAGATGTTAACAAGTAATGTATTGATGTAAAGGTGTTGGTACACCTAAAATATAGTTTTATCTTGGGTATTTCACAGCGACTGTACCTCAAATCAAACTGATGGTTGTAATTTGTATTTTGGGTGAGAGTTTCCATTTAGAAACAGGAGGAAAAGCTTGAAACTAAGAAATGAAAATTGCTCTGTATTAGGCCTGTTCGGGAATAAGCTGTTTTGGGGTGTTTGTATGACTGCAAGAATTTAAAACTGTTCTTCCAGAGTTGCAGGCAAAAAAACTTAAATGCTTTTATATGTGACACATTCGGAAAGGTCAGCTAAGCCCTACTGAGCTGGGCATATTGTCCTGTCAACGGTGATAGCTCATGTTAATTGCACAGTTGGGGTTCTGGAAAAAATATCTCCTGAAATAACTGTAATACCCTTTAATTGCCTGTGCAGCTGTTATTGGACTATTACATGTTTTTATACCTAAAATCATGTAAGGATAAATATTCTCAAGCACAGCTGTAGGAACAGAGTCCTTATCTGCAAGAGCTGGGCTGGAATGGCAGAAGAAGGTAACGCGTCTGGAAGCTGAAGGGAGGACAGGGCCTTCGCCACCCCGATCAGCCCCTCCGTAAGGGCCGCGCGTCCCGGCCCCCTTCCGGCAGTCTCCCTCCTTGCCTCCTCACCGCCTCGGAACGAGCCCCGCGCGCCACGGGCCTAACGAGGGTGGCCGCGACGGC